TTAGCTCCGTGTGACTTCTTCCTCTTCTCAAAGATGAAAATTCAGCTAAAGGGAAGGAGATTTGAGACAATAGAAGAGATTTAGGCAGAATCGCAGATGGTGCTTGACAGGCTGACAAAGAAAGATTTCCAGGGATGCTTCCAGGCTTGGCAGCGGCGCTGGGATCGTTGTGTTCACTCCCAGGGGAACTACTTCGAGGGTGATGGATGAATTTAATACCTGAGATAAGTGTACGGGTTTTTATACGCGCAGTCTGGAAACCTTTCGATCGCACCTCGTAAAATACATCATCAAAAGACAGTCAAAATATGAAAAGAGAAGGCATATATATAGTACAAACGATACTCAAACAACTTCATAACTTGTGAAAATATGCAGTCCACAAGTTAGAGAAAATCAAGTTTTGAATCGAGAAAAATTCCAACATCATGAAGATCTAACAACAATAAACGAAGTTATAAAAAATAAATATCTTCACTCTGCAAGTATTTTTAAAAATAAAAAGGTTTGCAGCACACAACTCAGTATTCATTTCCACAACACACGAGCTTCTTCGTTACGAAACTGGAGATAAATATTCAACAACAAAAAATTCCTCTCGATGACGTCACACTGCTTCCGCATGAGTTAAAGAGTCACGAGGAGTTCACTACGTAAAGCATATGGACTGAAATGTGGTCCATGATGTCACGACATGATTCACTGCAGTAGTTTCTGAGTCCGTTCACATAACAATACTATCTTAAGCACGTTCGTCTGTCTGTTCACAACATATTAGACCGTCGCTGGACACATTTTGACGAAAACTGGTTATTGTATTGACAAATCTGCTTTTGAACAGCGTCCGATATCACCCCCGTCAGATATTAAACCAATTACCTGGACACAATAAAATGATATTTGGTATGATTTCGACTCGAATAAGCCAATCAGCACTGCAAACTAAGAGATTACAAAATATTACGACACACGTCACCCAAACTTCTTCATTAAGTAAAGAAATTTTGTTACGAACTCAAACTTAGTCATCACAAAAACCCAATATCCGATATTAAATAGTTTAATTTGTTCACATTTTCAATAATTCGATATCACACTTCCATTTCCTGCTATGTAATAATTATCTCCTCCTACATTACAGCTGATTTAATCATTCTAGCACTATTAAGACAATAATACAAAATGCAAACCCCTTATTTTCCGTCAGTCCCTTTGTTCCTTGAACTTGTCAGATACCTCGTTAAGTCTGCCACAACAAAGATTGGAATGTCCTAAGTTTCATAAATTTCTTTTAAAATCGTTTATACACAAAACTATGCATTTCATGTCAGTAAATTTAAATGAACATCTAAAGTAAGCCCAATATTTTAAAAAAAAGTCACAGAATGTTGATATTTTTAATGCTGCAAATAAGATATTATTAAACATGAAATTACACCCAATTACGTTAATTCACAAAGAAATTAGATAAACTAATATTTGCTTTTAATGACAGTTGTAATTAAAATCAACGATACGATAAAACATAATATAACACGATATAAACATCACCTTAATAAACAGTGAATGATAAAGGCTCTTATACACAGAAATTTTATTTGAAGTGTAGAATAATATATATTAGTATTAACGATACAAATACAATTCGTTTTTGATGGAAATAGAAACAGCTTCAACCCCACAGTAAAAATAAGAAAGAAGGGATGTAGAACTGAACGATATGACTGCACATCGTGTTTTGAAAATGACTGTACCAGTGGTATATTTAAAGACTCCAATACAAGATACAGCCAATTCACGGGACCACTGTGCGAGATATAACAGCACGCTACAGCCACAGAAAATGCAAAGACACACAACAAAATCCGTGTTTAGACGACGTACCAATCTCGTGAAATGCTGGTATGAAATTTAAGCGAAAGACACATGAGAATGCACGCTAAACAATTCGGTTGGCACGACAGCTGTCAAATTTAGAGAAATGGGGTAATTAAATTTCATTAAATACCCTAGGTTTTTTTTCCCTTTGTTGAAATTAAACCACGCCCAGAAGCAGAAAACCGTGAGACCGCTCGATAATATTGTACCCTGCTGTCTACGCAACCTGCTGTACACAGTCGACAAAAGGGATGCCTAGCACCAAGCATTTCAAACCAAATGCGATTTTATAGACCTAGATTTGTAATCACAACTCTTGACAATCACACTTTCAATACCTATCCACTCCACACACTGGAAATTAAAGTATCAACACAAATATTCCACATGTATAATTTTCGTTGTGAAAACTGTGTATTGTGTCGTCTGCTTGTACTAAATTAGGCAACCCGTCAGGCTGTCTAGGTCTGTATCATCCCCTGTTTGGATATTCACTTCTCATAATAAGGCATTTCAATGTTCACAGATTCTTAAAACTAATGACAGCAAATAAAACAAACCAATGGGTCACCAGATGAAGCAATATTATGAAATCCATGTTTTCTCCTTACCCTTTTCACAGTCATGGGTCGATATGGCTGCCATTTTAAAGAACAACTGCAAAGGCCACGGCATATTGGAATCTACCACATTGTGAGTCGTTCACTGAAATCTGGCCAGATCGCAGCACACACTACATCAAGGTCGAAACTGTTATTATAATTAAAACATTCAACGTCATGTGTTTCGGAAACCTCAAACACACGCTGTCATCTTGTTTACGTTTTAAAAGTATAGTGACTACAGCTGTTACACAAAATGATTACTACAACGTTCACTAGTGCACTCATGCAGCGGAGCTCCTGCCATCTGTTGACGACTATCTCGACCGCCTGAAAGAATATCTAAACGACCCGACCTCAAGTTAAATGGGTTCACTAAAACGAAGGGGTTAATTTTGTACGCATTTATCCAATGCTGAAATACCCCGACCTCAAGTTAAATGGGTTCACTATAACGAAGGGGTTAATTTTGTACACATTTATTCAATGCTGAAATATACACGTTTTCAAAATTAATGGAAAAATTTAAACGAAGTTAAAAACGTGCATATAATTTCGAAAATTGACGGTTATAAGACCAACTAGCCGGACGGTTATATGCATTAAAATATAACAGCACGAAAAACCACAGGATGAAATGTCAAGCCAAGCTGCGGAAATAGCGGGGGAAGGGTTAATTTTAACCGCGCGCGTCGAGATAAAAATAAAGAAATATAGTCCTTCGAGGTATAAAATACAGCACCGAAAGCAATTATATTTATCAAGCCAGGGCGCAATTTAAACAAGAAGAACGTGACCTTCCCCCACATTGCGGTACATACCTATCTATCATTGCGACAAAGCGCAGATGCACTGCGTCTGTCAACCGACATTGACCTTCCACACTGCGATGATCGATCACAGAACGTCTTCCTAAAGCCAGCGGAGAAGAGATCGGCTGTTTTATGGGCTCTTACTCTGGCGTAAACGTCCGACACTTAGGGTACCTTAGGACAAACTGTAGACTGGAATGTCTGTACCTAAGTCATATTAACAGTTACTGACGATAAACTTCATCATTCGAGCGCTTCATACGGAATTGTTTGTATGGATAAACAAATATAAATACTATTTTGCATGTATTTTGTATGGATGTAACTCGTCACTGAGGCAAGCAACGGGAGAGAGAATTAGAGAAAATGTACTGAAAATATCTGGGCCCAATAGTGGTGGGGAAAATTTGGAACTCGTGCCTAATTATTCCACCAAAATTAAATTTTGCCAATAAATACACGTAGATTCGTCAGACAGAACACTAATAATAATAATAATAAAGATTCGTAACACAAGACGGGTTTGACTAAAAATACGGTAATAACTGTGGTGCTTATAGCTTCGAAACGAGGGTGATCTGACGGATATGGAGGTTAGACCGAGCGATTGTCAGGGGTAAATTATGTTTTTCTAAATTCTCACGTTTCACTTCTTCACCTCGTCTTGACTGTAAACGTTACTCAATGGAATATGTATTACTGACCTTTGGGTTGACAGAGATGTTAAGCTAATCACAACAGCGTAACATCGTATTCAAATACAGAGTAGTATTTTCCTCACGAGCTATTCAGTTTTTTAGCCCATTGATTTGTATATGTTATTTGCACAATAAATAAACACCATAGAAGCCTATTGAAACACCATAAAGAAGGCATTTTGGGAGTATGTATAGAGCTAAAATTTGGATCCATGCAAAGAACCCTTGAAATGCTACTTCCTGTTAAGCAGGTTTCTATACGCATTTATAATGTTTTTATTAAACATACAGTATTTAAATGTAATCATACTATGCAGCTAGACCTCGGTACCTTAGCCCACAGCACAGGATCAGATATCTAAAATAAACTGCTCGTCGCAATAAGAGGAAAATTAATTCATTAAACACCAACGAAATCTGTCCTGAGCAGCTTCGTTCAAACCTAGGCTACACTGAGAAAAATTACTACACATGCGCGCGCACGTCACTTGCGTATCGGGTCGCCTACATCACAGGAACTTTCTTAACTCTCGCGTACAACGTATGGGAGGATATTACAATAGAAGTTAGGAAAATAAGATGAATTTCCATAATACCCCGGACAAGCTCAACTGCTATTAGGTCCTGAAGAAGGGCTCTGACCCATGAATTTAGCTTTCGTTTACATTTACATATCTTTGAGTAATTAAAATTAACATGGGTCATTAACTGAAATGGGCCCACGTATACCCACTCATACCCTGTGTATGCGAACACAATTCGACGCCTTTAATATTTAAACTAGAAAACCCGACAAACCAAACGCATTTCTTGTTGAATTTTAGGTGTTATTTATATGTAGCAAAACACTTCAGGAAGATGGAAGCGATATGTTCCTCCGAAACATAGAAGACCACACGGCGACCACCGTGAGATTTGTGGTTCTGTGGTGGCTCCGTAGTTCACCATCTGGCACTGAAGGTCGGCGGTCTTGTTTCTGATGGCAACACGAGGCCGGATTTCATCTCGTGTCGGCGTTAATTTGTTTGGCCATACTTGTTTACCAGAGGTTTCGTTATTGTTTCAAGGCCACGAACGAGATGCAGGGTAGGAGAGGTCGGATTTATTCAACTCTTGTTAACTTAATTTGGATTCAAGCTTTGCTAATTTCACTTCAATTCTTTGCATTGAAGTTTTGTACGCACAGTCCTCGTCAAACATTGGAAACAATGAGGGCTAGATTACATGGTCGAGCCCAGCTTACTCAGTATCGAGTTTCTTTGCAAATCCGGTTTTCGTATTCCTCAGATTTCACATTCCATTGTCCCACTTCTACAGTACGTTGTTACAGGAGTAAAAAGTTGGTAACGGAAAGTTGTAACTTGCCATTTGAAATAAAAAGATGTTCTAGGAAGAATTACAGACTCGACTCGTTCTAAACGTGCAGGTGTAGTTGTTCTGCAGTATCTCATTTGTTAATGCACGAATGGAACCCAGTTCGAATCCGACCAAGTGAGGATGCATCATGTGGTAAAGTCACGCACATAAATTCGCGAGAATAATTTACGTTTATGGTTCAAAATATACTTTTTATCCATAAGCAAGATGCAGGTAAAAAAAAACTTTAGCGTGTAAGAAAGATAAACTACAGAAACACAAAATAAACGTGGAAACATTTAGAACGACAACCAGAAAATAACAAAACAAATTCTACATTATCGACCACAAGGTAGAAAAAGGTTCGAGACAGTCAAGGGCGTAATTCGTGTAGCAGACTCTAATATACAGAATGTCCTACGTAACGTGAAACGATCCACGATAGCACGCAGAAGCGAGCGAACTATCGGGAAACGAATCAGTCACAACGCAGAACACGGCTGTAGCATGCTGGTAGGTGGGTTCCGAGTTACGTGAGACAATCTGTATCGAGTGCCGAAATAGTCTTATAAAAGCTGTGATTTTAAAACATCTGTTGTTCATATCACATACATTGACATGAACATCTTCTGATAACTCATTCGTCCTAAAAAAAACCAATCAGACTGCGAAAAAACTTATTTTTCTTACAAAATACGACAGACATGACAATTCTATTTCAATGTAATTTCTCATCAACATATTAATTTATAAAACCCGAATTTAAATAAACATCCGACAAGATATTACGCGGTCGTAACAGCAGTCTGACAGCAACTGATTACTTTAGAAATTAATTCTGAGTCGGAACAAGCCAGAGGGCTTAATCCGTGACGGCTGAACAACGACAAAGAAACGGGTTAATTAACGAACAGGACAGGACAGCCGAGTTGTCACGACATATTACTGTTCCCGGCACAGAAATCGATCATATTTTACGACGCTGTAAAAATTATCGCCCAATAAACGCTGTCACAGAATAACAACGTACATAATTTCAACATTTCCCCCCCAAATATCTTCACTGCGAACCCAAACGAAGACAACAAGAAACTCGCTTTTGTATACAGATGGCTTTCGTTATCCGCGGTTTCTGAGAGATGTCAACTGTCTTTACCGGTCTGGGTTCCGCTGTGCGTGTTGCAACGCTGTAAGATTTAGCTTTGACCTTGAAGCAAGCAATTTGGTGACGGCTAGAAAATCACAAATAATAAAAATATGCCTGAAAATTAAATACTACCCATTCCATTGATATACGTGTTATATTGACGATCGAACACGGAAAGCTTGTAGAATATTTACCAAAGACCAGACTGCGCTTAAATATTAAAAACCGCATTCTGCCAACTTCTTATCGGACTCACATCAAATATCCCATTACAGCGGATGATGTATACTCGTTGTTCAGTATATAAATTGGACTAGGTAATGTGGGGTTTCGTTTGACGAAGCTGCTACTTACAACGAGTGACTGCCGATCGTGGGAAATGAAGGTCAGAAACGTTTCCACAACCATTTCTTCCAAACTGAAAACACGTCTACTTGACACCAGTAACAGCGAAATATCTCACCAGTAAAACCCGCCGAAAGACTTGGTTATATCCAGTTCGCATCCTGACAATATACTTTTATGTACAGACCGAAGAACTTCACACTGCCATCAGACGATAATCTTCTAGATTTAATCGTCGAAACACGTACGTAACAGAAACAAGTAGTAAAAATGTGTGCATTTACCCTTTGGGAAACCGAAGCTCGTCTAAATACTATTTAATAAATCAGTCCGTACCGCGAAGAAAACACAGCACTTCACCATTACAAATGTCAACTGGTTAACGCTGTTTAAGGAAATAATCCCTGTTTACGCTGAGAATCATACGAAACCCATACATATAAAACGCAGAGTTATTAACTGTGTAAATTAGGTGGTACATATAGTTACCACTGGTCTTAAATTTCTCATTCGAAGCGTTGTAATAAGAAACTAATAAGAGTTTTATTATAAAACATATACGAAACCTACAACGTAATAATACGCCATATCTGGCCGAAATAGGACTGCTATAAAATTTGTGTGACAAATGGTTCACTCAATGTAAGACATTTTACAAGTTCTTAAGGTTTGTCGAAATTGTTTACCGCATCACAATACTGTAAACCCTTTGAAGCCGAAGCTCGTCTAAATACTATTTAATACATCAGTCCGTACCGCGAAGAAAACACAACATTTCACCATTACAAATGTTAACTGGTTGACGCTGTTTAAGGAAATAATCCCTGTTTACACCGAGTCACGCAAAAATGCAACGTTACTGGTTGTAAAATTAGGTGGTACATGTGGTTTCCA